AAGGAGATGTGGGATATAATTATATATCAATGATGCATCAACCAAACAGTAAGGCAACAATAAAGTAACCAAAACCCAATTTAACACACAAATTTGACTCATGAATAGAAAGTCCTTTAATCATTTTAATGGTGGACCATTGAATGTTACTACTAGATAACATTTATGGCATAAATGAATTTTGACTAACCATGCTACAGGGCACAATTTATATAAAAATTTCACATTAAAATATATAGTTTAGGTTCAAAGTATTTACAAATGTATAGTGATTTAATAGTCTATGTTAAATCTAAAAAGAATATAATTATGATGCAAACTTTGCTCTTTTAATATGTTTTTTATTTCTTTTTAACTTAAAACCATGTACATGTAGCAATTAACATGATGAAATATTTATAGATATTTTATTCATTGTAATTATTCATTTTGAGAAAAGATGCAACAACCTCCACAACCCTTGTTCAATATGAATCCTTAAGTACATGATGAAACAATTACTAATTGAATTATCACATTTTGTTTATCAACTGTGTTTAAATGGCAACTGTAATGACTCTGTGCATGGTTTCAGGAACATTAATTTAATAATATTGTTTTATTTTGATGATTAATGTTATTTTGAACCATCTAATACATATTCACTTTCAATGCCTAATATATTATCAAATGTATTCATGTTTTGTTGTCCATGATTTGGGAATTATTTAGAAATTGAATGAAAATGCATACTTGCTAAATAAATCACCAAAATTAACAATTTTCATAAAATTTTATGGTCATATCATATGTTTTCGTACACTGTCATATTAATTTGTACTATGCATGTTTTTTCAATAGAAATTGTGACGTCAAAATGCATTCTTAATAGAACGAAAACTATCAGCTGATAAAGCAAAACCAGGGAAATACTTGTAATCCAGAATTAGTAACACAATTATATGGATATGTACATGTAAAGATTGGTTGGTTGTTGGTTAGAAAAAGTCCAATGACAAGTATTTCATGCAAATTTAAGACCAGAGAAACTTAACAATACATTAACATACAATATGTACAGGATGCATAGGTCCTGTTAAAGGCCATCCCACACAACAAAACTTAACCAATGCCCCACATGTTAGAGTTTAACAGTAAGACGGTGAAGACCAAGAGTAACCTTTTTTTATTCCCTTGACCTTGTCACCCTTGGGGTGATGTATGCAAAGTAAAAAATAAGGGATTAAATGACATACACATGATAAAAGGGGGTGGGGGAATGCTGTCATACATGAATTTCAATGATGCACAACTTTTCCAAGCCCAAATCCTAACTTTGCCTTGAAACATGCAACTATGCACGAGTGTGGTGATATAGATCGTCGATTCATAGCCTGTCTGTAGGAAGAACAAATGTGCATATTTTCCCTTCAAAATCTTGGATCCATGATTATTCGATAGACATGCTTTAAAATATTGTTCATTTCTACTCACCGATTGTAATTTCCAGCTCAGTAGTTTCCTGTGTAAAATATAGTTTGCCGACCTGCAGGTCCAGTTTGCTGACAAGAAAATAAAGAGGGTAAATCGTTCACGGTGAAGAATTGTTTTCCGTTTTTAATGAAACTTGACAGATTTAATTAAGTATTTTTTTTTATCATCGGAAATATCCCTCATGGATAGTAATTCAAATTAAAACTGTTTTATTATGCTGTACAATATTGGTAACTTAGTCATAGTCTTTAAATTTACTTCAGGTACACCGACGGTACATTTTCTATTCCTCAGAATTTATCAAAACCTTTTCAAATATAAATTTGAATGAATTCATTAGCATCTTCTGCAATAATATTAAAACTCCATTTTTAAACGTAGGCTTCTGGTATGTAAAATCAGTTATGAACGAATCAGAATAGATAAAATAAAAAGTAAAGATACCTAAAGGAAAGTCAAACGCACATGTCAAAAATGAACGAACAATGCTATGGCAATAAACGGAAAACGACAAAAGACAAACAACGATCGCAAAATAAATAAATAAAAAACAAAACAAGTCAACAACCGCACAATAGATAATAAAAGTATAAATTATGGGCTATTTCACAACTATATCAAATCTTGAGAGCCGGGTGAAACATATTTTTTTTTACACTGAGTTGCTACCGTGACGCTTAAATATTTGTCGACTGCAACAACCTATGAAATGTTTGTTTTAAACATTTAACGACTGTAGCAACCTTTTAAAATTTGTAATAAACATTTTATGACTGTAACAACCTTTAAAAAGTTGTAACAAACATTTTACAACTGTCCCAACTCTAAATACGTTGTAACAAACATTTTTTGACTGCATCAACGTCTAAAAAGTTGACACAAACAAATTTCAACCGTCCCAACTATTAAAAGGTTGGGACAAACATTAAACAACTGCCACAACTTTTGGAAAGACTGTAATAAATAGGATTTGACTGTGACAACCCCGTAAAACACTGCAACAGTCCTTAAATGATTGTTGATAACCTTTTTTGATGTTCACAACCCATAAAAGTGTTGGGACAGACATTAATCAACTGTATCAGTTTTTTTGACAGTCATCTTCAGTCTTCCACAGACTAAGATAGTCGTACAACGACTGTTACTGGTATGGACAGTTGTTTTTTCGTCCAGTAGTGTTTGAAGGAAAGAGGATTTTTGAATTTAGGTAATATTTGCTTCACAGTCTTGACCTAAAGTTGCTTACATTTTGTTTATAGGACCTAGTTGTATTTTTACACCAAGAGCACCATGTTGACTGATGGTTACCAAAAAAAAAAAAGAGTCCGTGACATCAAAAAAGGAATGTAATTTATCAAGAAAAAAAACCAACGTACCAAACAATCGATGGTTTCGGAGATTTGATGTGCTTTTTATACAATAACATAAACGATACTAATTGTACGGCACCAGATGCGTATTTCGACAATTAATGTCTCTTTAGTGAGACTAGAGACCCAAACTATTTGTAAATTCATTACTAAATACAAACGTTGGAAAGCTGACCCAACCAAAACGACGTAAAGGATAACAAAATTCGGAAAGGAATTAAAGCTTTGCATAAATTAACCTTTATTTTGGAAGAATGCATTCAACAATATTTCAAAATATAAAGGAGATAAATGCATTATTTTTTCGATTTTGGTGGAAACATTGATAAGAAATCCAACATGAGCAAGCTTGGAATATCGTATAAAATGGAATACTGGGAAACTGTCAAACATTTACAATTCATATTTTTTATTGTTATTATTTATTCTACAGAACGAAACGCCTTTTCCTACCAAGATAGTACAGAAGAGGGGATAAATGGCGAAATTGAATAAAAAAAATTTTAAGCGTACATGATGACGTTCATCCTACAAACATACGGCATGCACTTTAAATAAGTAGTAGATGGTTACATTGCAAGTATGGGATCAAAACAGAGGAGGTAACTCACCTACTAGAGTTGCAGGCGGCACGGTATAAGTTAGTATTGAAGTGATACACTTTGACTATAAATTTTTCGTTTTTGGATTATGTTACTGCTGTAGAATTTAAGTTTTTTTTATATGATCAGCCATAATGTGGTAAAGAAGGTCTTAAAAAAAGGCTTCCCTTTACTGTATGAAGACATTCCATAATTCAAAATATGTTTGCTTTAATATTCTGATTTTGGTTTTTTTTATATACAGCAGGACAATTATGAACCAAATTACCATACCAGCTAGTAATGAAATTACGTTCTATAAAACATGTATTTTCTTGGCAAGATGGTCTGTAGGAGGAGAAGGGATTTTATGAATGTAGGTTACAAATGCTTTACAGTCATGACCTAATGTAGCTTGCATTTACATTTTGAATCTAGTGGAAAAGTCGATAAATGTCTCATTGACATTTCGACAACAATTTCCTTGTTTTCATGTTGATGATTTTTTCCCCATAGACATCTCTAATTGGATCTAAATTGGCATTTCATCAATATTTGTTTTCTAAGGAATACTTATAGAAGCTAGGTATATGTTTATTAGACACACAACGACCAATAACAAAACAACCCATTTCTAAGTTAGCATACCATTTGATCATAAGTGTTTCTTGTTTCTCGTTTTTTATATAGATTAGACCGCTGGTTTTCCCGTTTGAATGATTTTATACTAGTCATTTTTTGGGCCCTTTATAGCTTGCTGTTCCTATAATGATTTACTTTTACAAATTGTGACTTGATGGAGAGTTGTCTCATTGGCACTTATACCACATCTTCTTATATCTACAAACAGTCTTCAATATAATATCTATGAGCTATACTAAGTTTTTTCTACTTCACCTTTCCATAGCAATGTAACCAATGAAAGCTGAAGGGATGTCTTCCTTTTTTTAACTTTACTGATTATAATAACCAGTGAATTTTTAAACTAGTGGCATTGAATTAGTAGAGAGTGTATTATTATACGTTTTACATCATTATCAAGGCTTGAATAGATGTTCATCTTCATTAAAAGAAACATAACAGTACATTGAAACCTTTGGTCTCATTAAGCAGGTGGTCTTTTAACACATGTCTAATCGATATGAAATGCACTACATAGGGAGCTTAGATTACTGTTTTATGAGATAGGTTTCAGCTTACTATAGGTTTGACCGTATTTGTAATTACAAACTGTTGTACTTCAAAAAGGTATTCCAGGTAAGAAATAGCTTCTTTTACCTTGATTGACTTAAAACATTCAACATTTGGTCACATATTATCACATTTGTAGTTTTAAACTGGCTTTATTAGTTCAAAGCTTATCATAAGTTAAGAAATAATATTGTGTGAAATAAAGTCAACGGAAATGTTCTGTTTTTAACAAGAGTTCATGGATAGCTTTTATAATTTTGATTCCTTAAGATTTTTAAACAACAGAGCGAGATGATATATGTGTACAAAGAAGATCTTTTACAAGGGTAATCACAACACATTTATAGCCAAAGGCATAACTTATCTTTCATTGAAGAGTTTTTACCTTCGTCCGTTGTCGACACGCCTTCATATGTGTAATTTTTCGTTGTACCTAAAAACATTAAAAACACTTAACAGATATGCATTAAGGCACATTAATCATGTCATATATGCAGGATTTTACATTCATAAAATAAAATGTAGATAATGTATAAATAATCTAACAGATTAATTTCACCCTGTACTATGTTGACTGATACGTTGCATTTGTCATAAAAGTATACCGGGTCTGTTTTTTTAACAAAGATTTAATGTATGCTTTCATAGCTAACACTTGTTGTCATAGTTCCGTTCCCTTTTATCCATTGAATCGTCATCATATTGGACCGATCACTGTTTTTTTTAATCGACATGTGTAAAATGACGCTTCGATTAACTGGCACAATATAGCCTGCCGTTGTGATTGCCGGGGTTTCAAATTGATGCAATATTGCTGTTTACACTGGACTTTAATCATTCAATTATTTAAGGTGAATAAACACATATCATGTATTTGAACCCCTGATGTCAAACAAGTAATCACAATCACACCTGTACTCAATTCATTCAGTTGATCGTTTACGTTCAATGACACAAGTTGTGTATTTGAAACCCAAAAGTCAAACATGCAAAACTACCAAAGCTGTTCTATTATGCATGTTTTAACCAGCAACCATGGGAATAAATCCAAAAAGTTGCTTCTTTCGAAAATTCTTAATCAAATTTTTACAGAGCACTACTTGATTAAATTTTCGATTTAATAAATAGAGAGACAAAAGATACTAAAGGAATATTTAAATTCATGTCGAAAACAAACTGAAATTGCAATGGCAAAAAGAAAAAAAACGAAACACCTGGGAGGATATAAGGTGTTCCGGAAGGGAAAGCAGATCCTGCTACACATGTGGCACCTGTCTTGTTGTTCAAGTTAGCACAAATACGGTGATTAGTCTTATTTGGTAGGTCATACTCAAGGTATATATATGACAGGATTGTGGTAACGATAATTGGAACATATCCGTCGTCAAATGCGAAACGGATATTCCATAACGGTCAACTAATTCGTGAGAGCGAATGTAAGGGATGATTTAATTCACCACTTGGATTGTTTGGTTAAGTAGAAAACATATTAACCATGGACGTTTAAGTAGCAGTCTTGAGTAAATTTTGTTCTACGGTTCGATCGAATTAATTGTAATGTCCGGATCAATTGAACCAAATGATCTTGAAACAATAAAACAAAAAGATCTTTTGATTAGATTAATATGAACCCAAATTTTAGTTTAAATTAATGAAATAAGTTAACCATATTAAATGTACTGTGTGAACAGTCGAACCTGTAAATATGTACGAACATGGCTCAACTTTGTCAAAGCTCAGTAGCGTCAATTACACTGCAGGGTTTAATGTAATTCAATGAATCTGTTTAGTTACAAACGAGCCGTTTAAGAAATTCAAATCATTACAAAATTTTAAATACTACATTTGATTCAGTTAAATCAGTTTGCTATGTACATTCCATTGACACAATCTAATAAATGAAATTCAGCTCTAAATTAAATCAATTAATCAAACTATCATGTACCATGTGTACGGATCAAGTGAATATAATTAGTCATTTGAACCTGGTAGCATAAATGGTTAGGAACAGCCTCATTAAACATTCCTACTGAGCTAACCTCAATTGAGTCTACTTGGCTATTTAAACTTCAAAATATGACACAGAAATGATAAGTTTAACAGCCAGAGTTCCATTGGGGAAATTGTATCAGTTGCATGTAAGGTATCAAAACAGAATGTGTTTGTTTCACATCGATATTTTTTACTCAAAATGCCATTTAAAATCCTGTAGAATTGAATATTAAAAGTACCTCCACTGTTTCTTTTTTTCTTTTGTGTATAAAAGTGAAAAACTAACAGACCAACTGCCAGTACCACTGCTACTAGAACGACAACTCCAACTATAATACCAGCACTGAAATTTAAACAAAATCATGATTATGTAGAATGAATGGACAATTCTAAAGGTAAAATGAACATTGATCTCTGTCTTTGATTCCAAATAAACTGATCAAATGTGTACTGAGTTGAAAGCCTAACATTAATCCCCATACCACTTTATTCAAGAGGAATCGTGAACAAGAAACAATTCGAATACCCTTATGTATAGAGGCAATAGAAAGTAACAAAAAGGGTACAGAGATTAAATGCTTGAAAAAAGCGTTTAAATACAATACACGATGTCCTAACAAATATATAGGTTTCGTATTGAAACGGACATGCATATTGTCCATTCATTGTCACCACGGAATATATATACCGAATTAGGTTCGATTTGACATCGTTTCATTAACTTTATGAAAAGCCCAAAAAGTAGAGCTAGCTTTAAAAAGTCCCGACATAACAAAATTTAAAAAAATAATTCAAACAAGAAAACAACGACCTTAACTAGTCTGAGAAACAACCAATTACAGACATACATCAGAGACAGGTACCAACGAAACTCATCCATTTACATGCCCTTATCTTTAAACAGACACATACATAATGTAGAGGGTTGTACCCTTTACAAAGACAGTGGTGTAACAGTACAACTTCAAAACAGACTATGCAAACATGTTGATAAAGACATTTCATAGACTTGTTTAATTCCCCATTTTGTTCGTCAAATATCCGTACTTAGTCAGGAATGTGACAGTTGTTTTCAATAAAGGCAACAGTAGTATACCGCTGTTCGAAACTCATAAATCGATAGAGATAAAAACAAATCCGGGTTACAAACTAAAACTGAGAAACTATTTCAAGTCGCTCCGTCAATAAAATTCATATATTTTTGAAAGACTGGAATAATTTAACAATATTTAGATTTTCTATTTCAGGTGTCAAATAACGGGTCCTAGCATACATCCTATACTCAATGCATTGCTTTTAATATAAGTTGAACTGCTTACAGCTTTACTGTTTTAAATCATTTTCATATTTTTTATAACATGTCATGAAAATGACTTGATAATTGCTAAGTATTCTTTAAACATCGATCTCACAACGCTTCAATGAAGAGGAAAAGATTTGTACTACCCGACTAAGAAGCTCAGTAAGATCATTGTTATCAGTGGGATGGTTAATAAGTTATGGTATTGTATGATCATTTTGCCATGTACAAAACTGAAAAGAGCATCAATAGTTTATTTCGGTTTAACACCAAATCCACCATAGAACCATGCAATCTGTCAATGAGAGGTACCACAGGCAACATCCCCCGATTTTTATGAAAAATTGTACAAAGGGTCATTATGAGATAAAAATCAATCATGTAAAATATTTTTTTGAAAAGGTTTCTATTTATAGACCTATAGCGCCATCTATAACCGAAGAGTATTTTTGCCATATTATCATGATAAAAGGTTATAAAATTGAGATTTCTGAAACTTGAATAAAACTTATTTTTCTGGGGTTTTTTTTGGAAGGATTATGAAATATGATGTTTTTTCTTCAAAATAATCTATTTATTAAACTTTTAAGATTGGTAACCAACCCTCCCCCATAACACAAAATATGACCATTTGACCTATTTTGAATAATCTGCAATATTGCATGTTTTAAAAAATTGTTTTCTATCAATATACGAAACAAAACATAGAAATTACAACTGCATGTTGATATTGGGATATTATTTTATTTATGACAGGTTTTTCTTGCTAGGCTCTTTATTGATGTTACCATGGCAACCGTTTTATTACGCCTCAGTTTTTAGATTCTAAGTAACCAAATTTGAGAAAAATGAAACATCAGGGAGTGAAAATGAGAAATTTTTCAGATAAAAATATTACACCTATGCTATTTAGTGGAGACATATGATAAGAAGTTACCACAATAGACAAATGCATCTACCATTGACTAATAATACCACTCTTCTGGGTCCCTGTTTTCTGAACTTTAAATAAATTGATACGTTTCCTCAAGATGTTGGCATAAATATTGTAATAACCTATTCATTGTCCTTTTTCCACGAATTGTTCACATTTCTACAAAACAAAATGCTGCTAGGACCAAATCTTTATTTCAAAAAGGAAGGTTGTTACTCTATTTGCTGTTTTAGTTTTCAGCTAAATCGCATTAGCTCTTCAATTTAGGAGATTACCATAGCAAAATAACATCAGACAAATTAGGAGGGAAGCAGAGGATGAGTGAAAAATGTTTGTTTTCTAAGTTTAATGCTGTGGATTGTGGGTTTTCTAACTTTTACAACGATACCAAACAATTTTACAAGCTTAATGAATGTGAAAAGAACACTGATGCCCATCTTAGATCACTACATTCAAATAATCTGAACTCAGACGTTTCTGAATCAACACTAATTTTATCTCTTGTCGGAGCCGTTTTCAATTATAGTTGTGACTATAACATATGTCAAGCCCACAGAGACACTTTAGGTATCTATTGGCAAATATCTAACAGAAATGACTGTAAGCATCCACTGCATGGTTCATCCCAACGAAAGGCTGATAGAGGAATTTCATTGAAGCGCTCAGTTGAGATTTTCCTTTTTTGGGGAGAGCATGTGCCCATTGGATCAGGTATGTTATATTTTGGATAGATACAAAAATAAAACATTTGGGGATCCACTCTATATGCATTGTAGCCTATAAAGAAATGGGCCATTCCACTAAAAATCCGAACAAAACAGGGGGGTGTTATATTTTCTGAGTGTTATCAAGTCATAGCATTGTTTATATCTAAGGGATACCCACTTTGTTTTTCTGTGAGTCTTTTGTCTATATATATATGTAAAAATGAGGGCTAAGTGTCATATTTGGTATCTGAGGGACAGAAATGTTGCAAGAAAATTGCATGAGGGGGGTTGAAAAATGCTAAGCTGGTCAGTTACATGTAGGCCACCCAAATGATTTCAATAAATGGTGGATCCCCACGGAGGCAGTCTTGACCATTACCAAACTATCATGTTTTTTGGCAACGGCTAAACCACCATTAAAGCAAAAAAAACATGTTCCCCATTTTATTCTTTATAAAATAATTAAATCTCTTTGTCTACCTAAATTCATCTACCTTATTTTTTATGAAGCAGCACACTAATTTCTTTTATGAGAGTATAAACAGATGTGGTGCTAGTATGGGTCGCTTTTTCAACTCGTCAAATATATGAATGGGTTGAAAATATCAGACAAAATATATGACTAGACCCAAAAATTTAGAACAAAATGTATGACTGGGCTAGAAATTTCAGACAAATATATGACCGGGTCGAAATTTTTGACTAAATATATGGTTAGATAACATATTTTTATGCAAAATATATATGAATGGGTCAGATTTTTAGTCTTGGGCTACAGACAATATATGAATGTGTTTTTCAAATTCCAGAGACACACCTGTACCAACTTTTTAACAAAGTGCCCCCCCCCCCCCCACCCCCGTGGTTAGCATAATTTGTTTTCATGCTACAATGGATTGGTGAGATCAATTATTATTTTTTTTAGACTTATTGAGGCCAACATTGAACAAATATGTGTTTCCTCTTACAAATCTTCAAATGATTTAACTAACAAACAAGACCAATACTCAAAAAAGAATTATTCATGTTAACTTAACATGCACATAAAAAGTCATTCTTTTTAATTTACAGGTATATGCAGAGGCTGCAGAGAAGACCACAGCAAAGAATTATCGAATTCACATTTTGTGATGAAGACAATGAAGAGTCAAACATAGAAGATTGTATGTAAACAAATCATTTGACATTTTGTTCATATAAAAAAAAATCAGTTATTTTGATGAGCAAACAATGATCATGTTGTATTATAGAGTGATGTTCAGGTTGCATTTAAAACTTCTTTATGCAAGTCATTGACCATGCGAAGCACAATGTAGGAGTTAATTTTTTTCTAAATAGCGGCAAACTTTTCATATTTTAAAACAAATTTAATTTATACACCAAATCACTAAATGCAATACAAAAAGACATTTAGTGCTTACCACATGTACTTCAATGGAACAGGAATAACCCACTTACAGACGGCCAGATCTGGATGACCCCCCCCCCCCCCCCCCCCCCCCAAAAGAGCAATCAAACCTAAGGGCACAGCACATGTCCAGATTATGAGATATCTTTTTTAGAATAATAGGTTTAACAATGCAAGGGCAATCCAATGACGTAAATACTCCTGATTTAGGACAGGAGCACAAATGTGGTTTTATTAGGATCCATTCTCTTTATTGCATTTTAAACATACAGTTAATTCAAAAAATATTGCATGCTTTTATTATTGTGATTTTGAAATGCAATATGGTTATCTCCATACTAATGAACCTCGGACTCACTAAGCATGTACTGTAAATCGTGTAATTGATGTTATGAAATTTTACTCATTGTCCAATCAAATTTGGCGTTACATTAAAAGTTGCATTAGAATATGTTTTTACTACTTTTTAGATGTACCACAAGCAAAGAAAATATGCCTCTCAAGCGAAGTTGTGTGTTGACTTTCTGTGACAGATGGTTACTGTCTTCAATATGAAAATTGCACAACATGGAAGTAGATTTAATTTTGTATTGTGTATAATCAGGGGCGGATGCAGACACTTTACATGTACACCTGCCAATGATACCATAGACCAAATATCAGTGGCCTATCATGAACAGTTTCTGAGAAACTGACCTAATCACAAAACTTTGATAAAAGCTTACGCCGTGGCCGAGGCCGGAAAAGCAATCCCTATGTCTCGCTTTCCGCGACTTTCGTCGCAGGCGAAACAAAAACTAAAAACAAATGAGAAACGCGGACCCCAAAAAAAATGGGATCAGTACTCCAGAAACAATTTTCACTTTTTGGTCCTATTGTTTTATGGCAGGCATTTGTCAGGATGGTGCATTTTTGCTTCATAAGCAATGGTCAGGCGACTTGTCTCATAAATTTTGTTTTATTTTTTGTTATCAGGAGGACACAGAAGCTATGAACAGCATTAGATTTGCCTGTCCGGAGCCTGGATGCCAAAGGGTTTTGTTTCGATAAATGGTCTTGAAAGGCACATTTTAAAAGGATCCCATCAATATGTTAAACCAGCAGGAACACATGTTGTAAATCAAATGTGGGTTGACAAATGCAATAATATCGGAAGTGAATACTATGATCTGTGATTGACCAATCTGTTATCTCAGGCTCTGAAGATGATTCTGTTGTTGAAGGATGGGCTTTGAAGAAAACTCGAAAAATTGTTCGCTTTTCTCCCAAAATTAAAATCTTTCTGAAAAACATTTATGATGAGGGTGAAAGAACAGGGAAAGGCCCCTACTATGACGATCTTTGTGACAGGTTGAGGAAACAACGAACAGAAAATGGAACCAAAATGTTTTCCCCTGATGAATGGCTATCTGTTAGTCAAATTAAAAGTTTGTTTGCAGGTTTTGCATCTAAACAACATTCAAGAAGGAATAAACCCCCATGCTCCACATGTTGTAGCTCTTGAAGTTGAAGTAAATGACGTTGAATTGAGAAATGTATTGTCTGAAATTGAAAACTCGGAGATACTAGAGAATATGTCCCATGTCAACAGAACTTGACCCATTTTATGCAGATACATGTAATTGAAAGTGTTTGTAGCAGATCATGGACTTTATATGAATACACTATAATGAATTGTCTCCCTTTAATGTTATTATAAGTGATTACTTGTCTTTTAAAATATTCAGAATCAACTGACAAATTGAAGTCAAACTTGTTCACAATTTTCCTTAAATATCATATCAAATTTGGCTGTACAAATCATTAAAAATGAAGGATAATGAAAGACGGTCCTTGCTTTCCAAAAGTCTCAACTTGCCAGGTGGTGCATTCAGCCTCTAGTTAGAAAAAAAGAATCTAAGTTATTACCATGGCCTTAGATAAAAACTTTTAAAAATAAATTAGGCATCGTCCTTTGATGGTGTATGTTTTGTACAAAATTATATCAAAATTAAATCATTTATCGTCAAATTTTCCTTTTGAAAATATACAAAATATCAATTACTGTTGTCTTAAAGTAAGTTGTGACCTTGACTTTTTACCTTTAAGGCTACTACAGAGCCTGAAACTGATAGGAGCCTGATTCCTCTTGTTGGTTAGGTGCATGTTTGTACCATATATTTAATGAAAACTTGATTTGTTTTAAGGTGCTGTTATATGAAAAACTTTTTAAAAAAAAATTGCTATTATCTGTATATATTGTGACCGGGACCTTTGATCTACAGAGCCAACTTTCAATCAATTTCTTTTCTCCTCATTCCTTTGGGTGTTTGTTGATTTAGTTTCATGAAAATTCAAAGATGTGTTTCTTTGTTTTCATCTGTAAATGATATTGTGACTTAGGAACAACCAGATGCCAGCTTGTATACATAATTTTGTTAACAGGGGTAAACCTATTTGCCCCTTCCATATTCATATCTTATGTTGATAGAATATCTTTTTAATAAAATTTCAATAATTTTTCAACATAATTGACCTTAAGAGCTCCAGTTTTAATGTTACTTATTCATGTGCAAAAATCACAAATTTTCATCATTTTCATGTCTCTGCCAGACACATAAGAATATGAGTGCCCACCAATTTGATTCTTAAATTAGTTTGTACTATACTTCAACTTTGCAGTGTGGTATGATTTTTTCAATTGTCAGTGGTAGATGAGATTTTGTATATGTTTTAAAATGTGTAATTTTCATTAAAAAAAAATACGGGAAAATTGAATATGATTATCTCCCTTTGCCAGGCAAAACTAAAAAATTTGATTTTGCTTATAATTGTGTAAAATGTTTATTTTACCATCAAACTTACTGTCAATAAAAGTTTAAATAGTAAGAATTATACTTTGTTGCATTTTTTCCATCTCAATGTTGTCACAAAATTGAAGAAATTCATTTTTCTGAGCCGAAAATCTGGTTCCCTGTATAGAATACTGCATTACTCATTACAGAGATAAGGTCCAGAGGAAATATTTTGTGTGAAGTCTTGTACTAATATGGTGTTTATATTCACAAAGTTTTGTGAAGATTTGAAGACCCCCCATGTGTCACTTAATACATAATTTTATGGTGGATTGGGTGTTAAATTATCAAATCAATGTCTTCCGCAAAACAATCTAATATTGCCTGACGAATTTAAACGAGTACAGTAAATATCAATGATACACTACGGATAACAATTTTTTTATAGTAATTATTTGATATATGGCAAGAAGGAAATCATAACTGTTATATCAGGCTAGATTTTTCTACATTGTACATAATTGCCAAACTGACAGTAACTGAAAGTGCAATTTTAAATAGCGGTCCCATTGCAGCTAACTACCTGTCCAAAATGTCAAAAAATATTTTATAATTAATACAACTTTTATTGCAGTTTCTATTGTTATCACTAGTAAATCAAGTTAAGTCTTAAACGGTCATTTTTTATCTTAAGATCGTCTGCAAAATCAGAATCTCAAAACGATAAGACTTTATTAATATTTTAAGTAACAGTTAAGATAAGTTCTTGTCTTAAACTCAGTACTTTTCAAAATTTTGCTTGCAGTCATTCATAAATGCAGTTTAGACAATTCAGTGTGGTATTTTTTTGTAAATAACAGCTACTGAACGTATCTAAATTGAATTCAAGCGAATTGTCTCAGCCAAATTAAATTTGCCGCAATGGATAAGTCTGAAAAATAACTGAAACACTGAACATAACTTAAAGATTCATTGTTGAATCTTTTAAGAGCTATTCAGATCAAAATGACCGTGTCATTTCAAAATATGTTTACTAGTGTTTACAAATGGTTTGAATATTTTTTTATGAAGCATTTAGGAGCAGCTACGTCCATTAATTCATACGGCATAGTATGTGAAACTCGGAATTCTGAATTAAAAAAAAAGATCAGGTTTCCTTAAAAAAAATAAATCTTCATGTGACGATCTTTGAAGAACAAATTATGACAGTTGTTGTCCATTCGTTTGATGTGTTTGAGCTTTTTATTTTGCCATTTGATTAGGGACTTTCCGTTTTGAATTTTCCCCAGAGTTCGGTATTTTTGTGATTTTACTGTTTTTAAATAAACCATCGAATGCATCATGTCAGAGCTTTTCCGTTCAAAAAATATATATTCTAAACAAAGGACATATTTATATTATTTGAGAAGGGCTGGATATCCTGCTACTATTTGCATTTTTATATTGGGATGGTCCATGGTACAAAGTTTTAAAAACATCTAATGAAAAATATATGAGGAGAAAATTGCGTCCAATAGCTTTATAGCAGCTAGTATTATTATAGAGAAAACGAATATGTACATCCGAGTTAACACATTATGATCTGTAAAGAAGTTTGATTTGAAGAATTACTCAAAATTTAATTCGGAAAGATATTTTTCCAAGGGTATTTTTTTTAATTGTCCTAAACAAATAAATAAATATATTCATAACTTACACTTGACCTTCAGAAATCCTATCATTACCAGTATTAACATTTGGTTGTGCAGTACTCATGTCTGAAATAGAGAATAAGTATAGCATGTATAAAACGTAATTTGTTCGTTTTTTTCATCCACAGACTACATATAATAACATTAACACATGTTAAATACGTGTCAGATCTAATTGTCAAGAGCAATTAGTGGACAACAAACATAAATTGTTCAAGGAATGAATTGGGGTCGTTGATAATCCAAAGATAAAGTGGCCACATTTTTCGCTCAGTTTTTAAACCTTTTTTCAATAGATTCCCGTTTGAATGGGTTTACACTAGTAATTTTTGGGGCCCTTTATAGCTTGCTGTTCGGTGTGAGCCAAAGCTCCGTGTTGAAGACCGTATTTTGACAAATAATGGTTTACTTTCATAAATTTTGACTTGGATAGAGAGTTTTCTCATTGGCACTCATACCACATCTTCTTATATCTTTATCAATGAAGTTTGTTCACATGATGATTTTGACATTTTTACATATTATGCCTGTTTGTTTTGTTCACACATCGTTGTCAATATAATGGAATTTTATGCAACTGTCATACATGTGAGAGGTTTAGCTTGCTATAAAACCAGGTTTGATCAACCATTTTCTACATAAGAAAATGCCGGTACCAAGTCAGGAATATGACATTTGATTATCATTCGTTTGATGTGTTTGAACTTTTGATTTTGCCATTAGACTACGGACTTTCCGTTTTGAATATTCCTCGGAGTTCGGTATTTTTGTTATTTCATTTTTTTGCACACTAACCATATGACGACGAAAGACAAGTCATATTATCAGTTTGCAAAGTATAAATTTGTACTTTTAATCAATAAGATCAATCTCAGTGCTAATGAACATGATTGAGCCATTTTATTAGCAATTTTGAATACAGAGCTATTCTTTTTTACCCCAACATGTTGATACGGTTGTGTAAAGTAGAACTGTTATGTCTTCGGTACACATAACGCAAAGATACGACTTGCTTGTTGATTCAGTACCTTAAAGACAGTATTTTCCATACGTAATGAACAATACCATCTCGCTATCATGTTTCATTAAATAATACAATATATCTATAATATTTGAGTAAACAATACCATCTATCTTTCATGTTTAGTATACAACATCATCTGTCTATCAGGCTTGAGTAACCAATATCACTTTCTATCATGTTTGAGTAACTATACCATATATATAAAATCAACGTATAATTTTAACACGCTATTTAGTATAAGAATACCAAAATGTTAAAAAATATTTACAATGCGATAAATATAAACGCAATATTTTGCTAGACAGAGAAGTTAATTCCAACTTTAAAACAGTGAACTCAATTTATGCATGTAACACCTGTGGCATTCGGTAACAATGGACAAATTTAAATAAATATCGATCATAGTGCATATAAAGGCGAAAGTAGTATACCGCTGTTCAATAGTCATAAATCGATTAACCGAAAACAAATCCGGGTTACAAACCAAACCCGAGGGAAGCATATCAAAATATAAGAGGAAAACAACGGAACAACATGCACTCACTGAACTGCGACAAACAAGAGGACAATTTCAAACAAGAAAGACAAAGAATACATTTATCATGTGGCATCGTTCTCCATATCACTGAAATACTGACCAATGGACCTTGAAAACTTACCTTACTTCAACAGATTTCGTCAACTTGATAAATAATCTTGAATTACTTCCAAGTTATTTATTAAGCACCAATATTTACTGTACAGTGGGCTGTAAAAGTTTCTTATTTACAAAGGTTTCAACCGATATATTTTTTTGGTAGAAGCACTCCCGATGACGCTAGTGTTTTCATTGCATTGTAAATATTTTTACATTTTAATATTTGATGCAAAATAGTGTTTTAGAATTGCATTGTCAGGCAAATTTCAATTTCATTTATTATGAAAGATTGTATTAATCTGTTTACTGATCAAACCACACTCAAAAGGATATGTATGTTAATGTTTTTTATTTATAGCCATTACACTATATAGCTACTGTTTCGGGTTAGGGTGAAGGTTGGCGCCAGTCAAAACGTTTAAACCCGCTGCATTTGTATGCTCCTGTCCTAAGTCCGGAGCCTGTTGTTCATTGGTTGTCGTTTAATGAAGTGGTTCTTAAGTGTTACTTGTTTCTCGTTTTTTGTATAGACTAGACCGTTGGTTTTTCTTGTTTGAATTGTTTTAGAATAGTCATTTTCGGGCGCTTGTTAGCTTGCTGTTCGATGGGAGCCAAAGCTCCGTTTTGAAGGCCGTACTCTGACCTATAATTGTTTACTTTTTACACATTGTGACTTGGATAGAGAGTTGTCTCATTGGCACTCTTACCATATCTTCTTATTTCTATGTATATATAGAGAGAGATATATAACATGTATAAAAAGTAAAATCACAAAAATACCGAACTCCGAGGAAAACTCAAAACGGAAAGTCAGTAATCAAACGGCAAAACCAAACGCTCAAACACACCAAACGAATGGACAACAACTGTCACATTCCTGACTTGATATAGGCATTCTCTCAGATAATGGTGGATTAAATCTGGTTTTATAGCTAGCCAAACCTCTCACTTGTATAACAGTCGCATCAAATTCCATTATATTGACAACGATGTGTGAACAAAACAAACAGACATAATAGGTAAAAATGTCAAAATAGGGGTACAGCAGTCAACATTGTTTTATAATCTTAATCACTATAAAAAAACAAACAATATGTCACAAATAAGCACAAAAAGGTATATAGACAAAGCACAATAGCAAAAATGAAAGACAAGAATACAATAATTTACAATAGCACAACAACACATTGACGGGATGTATAAGTACGGAGCCACGTCATATGTACCAAAGAAACACAAAAAGGTATATAGACAAAGCACATTAGCAAAAATTAAAGACAACAATACAAAAATAATCAAAGAACAATAACACAATGACGGGATGTATAAGTACAAGGCCACGTGATATGTATAAAAAAAACACAAAAGGGCATATAGACAAAGCATAAGCAAAAATGAAAGACAAGAATACAAAAATTATCATATATATATAAGTCTTAAGATTTGCGCCAATCTTAAGACTTTTAAAATATTTTCCTTATCTGTGCAGTATCGCCGAATCTTGACGGTCCTGTATAAATAACATTTGATGGTTGGCCCTTTTTACAGATTTATACATGTTATATATATCATGTTTGAGATAATAACACCATTTTGTATTATTGTTTGAGTAAATAATAACATCCAGCTCTCATGTTTTTGTTTAAAATACCATATATCACCCTCAATTCAAAATCACGCTCAATGAAAATGTCACAATCAGGAATAAGACACAAATATTAAAATTTTAAATCAGACGATTAGACTGGTATCTAAACATCAAATACCGCGAAATTATTGCGCTAGGGAGTTGTGACATCTACACATCGTGTTGGTCAACCAATTCGTAACGGTGACCGAAACACTTATGAAGTGTCGATTACAGTCGTTCTTTCTCATAATATAAAAAAGAAGATTAGGCATGATTGCCAATGAGACAACTCTTCACAAGAGGCCAAATGACACAAAAATTAACAACTATAAGTCACCGTATGGCCTTTACAATGAGCAAAGCCCATACCGCATAGTCAGCTATAAAAGGCCCAGAAATGAAAAATGTAAAACAATTCAAACAAGAATAAATCTGTTTGAGCAGCTTTTGTGTTAAAAGCACACCCTGTTAATGAATGCCGTACAAAGTGAACATGCACAAACGTATCGTATGGACTGTGATATGTAAATACCATCAGAGGAGCAGAGGGTATATTATTACTGAGAAATGGGAAATTCACAATTGGAAAGTTGAAAACAGTACGTTTGTCATATATATTCTAGTTTGAAGTCGTCAATCTTAGTCAATATCGACATTCGGAATGTTTTTAAAGTTTATTAATTCAGTATAAAGATGGGAGAATTGCATTGGTTATTTTATGTTAACACCAAAGGAGAGAAGAAAGGGTTTGTGATTTTCTAAAATCTCCTCTTTAGTGAATAATGTATGGATATGTGTGAGATTCCCGGTTTAACTGTGAAGACCAAAGATCTTTATTGAGACATTTCAAATAAAAATTTTTGTAAACAATATCATATATCTATCATGTTTTAGTTAACAAAACAATTTATTTATGATTGAGCAATAAAATTGAGAATGGAAATGGGGAATGTGTCAAAGAGACAACAACCCGACCATAGAGCAGACAACAGCCGAAGGCCATCAATGGGTCTTCAATGCAGCGAGAAACTCCCGCACCCGACGGCGTCCTTCAGCTGGCCCCTAAACGTATATTCCTATTGTATCGCAAGTATCGCAAGTATGTAATAGAAAGTCCCCTTTCTGGATGGTTAACACTTAGATCGTTAACATACAAAGTTTTTCGAACATGTTTACTAAATGCAATTTAAATGTTGAGAGTTGGTCAAATAGTGTACCTCGCAGGCAAACAGAAGTAACAGGTTAGGCCATATGGTTTCTTGTTTTCAAATGTCAAAGTATGATTGGATTCAACAAAACGACGCTGGTGAAAACTTAACTACTTATTATGGATACGCTACCAATAACAGCAAATAAGCTAACACGTTTATCGTTCTTTGATATTAGATTTATTTAGTTATTTTCCTGAACTGATTTGGTTCATGTTCGTTTATGTATTTTTTTTTCTTTGATTATGAGAGGGGCTTGAGGATCTACAAATATTGTCTGACCATGCAAAATGTGCACGTGCCTGTCTCACAGCAAAGTCTAAGCATTGCTTTCTTTTAAAATATAGAAACGTCTTTTATAAAAAACGATAGAAACGTTTTGTAGGGTGCTGATAGCAAAACTTTGATATTTTTTTAACTTATTTACTCAGTTGTTAGCTTGACTTGTTAAATATACATAATATTATTAAATACCGTACGTTAACATCTCTGGAATTTGTAAATATACTTTTTTTAAATGTTGTTAGTTTGCATCTCTCACAGACTCTATCTATAAATTCCCGTATGCCTTTCATTTATTTGTGTCGTTGGATTGTTGTTGCATTGTATACTCGAAGTTTCGGTTTATTCTGTATTAATACCTTTTACAACAAATAAGATGTGTCTAAATGGCACTCATACCACATCTTCTTATATCTATTTAGTAGAAGTATTGTCTCATCAATGTTGATTCACATTGATATTTATTTCGAGTTACACATTATTTGGTCTTAACTATATCTATTCATTATGTTAACTTACATTTGAAAACATCCTCCGCGAGTAAATATTTTTGTTCACCTAATGTTACACCATACAGGCAGGAATACGACACATTAAGATCGTTTTTAGTCAGGTTTTGGATAATTAAGGTGTATCCATCTTTCTCAACCTTTCCATCATACTTTTTATTAGGTCGTCCTGTTTTGACATCTATAAACAGTGTGCGTTGATGTGGAGTCCACCTATCCCATCCAGCATCTTTGGGACAGCAGTTTGGAACATTGCAAAATAAAGTCACGTTTTGTCCATAATCTGTAACTTTTCCAACAACCGTCCATTCCAAAACACCTAAACATTTGTAAGTATAATTTTCTTTAATGATATGGGGTTATACTGATAATAACAACAAAAGGATACACTCAGCAATTAGCCGAGTTACAGTGTAAGAACGGGGCATTAATCTTTTTTAATGGTAAACGTAGATAATATTGCACTTATGTTCTTTCTATTCCCACAAACAAAAGCATGGCACTTCAGTGACATGGTTAACCTTCTGCACTGTTGGATTGTTAACGGTCAATGAACATTGTAACTGAGGCCAGGTCACTTATGTCAGGTGTTTGTGTAAACGTAGTTCCATGAGAGTAGTTGGCCTTATTCTAAATATTTTAGATGACCACTTAAACGTTATATTGAGCTTAGGCCAATATGAAAATGTCAGTAGGACATCATCATTTCAACCAAATCACATGGTATAATACTAACATCATATGCAAGTATCCATTCTGGTGGCCCTACGGAGACTAGCATTAAAAAAACTGTTCCTTTACTTTCTGTTTTGTCAAGTACGTGTAAAGTTTTTGTGTCATAAATAAATGCACAATTTCACATTTTTTCATTGAATTGACACATTTTATCGTTCGTTCTGAGCAGAGGAGTTTGCTGGTACTTCCTTGCACTCTTTTGTGGTCATAGTATAATTGAGTATGGGCATGGTCAGAAAAAAGACTTACGAAATAAATACAAATTTTAAACAAAATAGTTCCTACGCATAGCTGCAATTTTGTCAATACGTAAATTATTAAGGTAATTTTCAATGATGATATCGGATATGTTCCTTATGTCGTAACTACAATACCCTTCCCTTTTCACGAATGTGACTTACCGAATTAGACTATTTACCGGATTTGTAATAACATAAGCAACTCGACGGATGCCACATGTGAAGCAGGATCTGCTTACCCTTCCGGAGCACCTGAGATCACCCCCAGTTTTTGGTGGGGTTCGTGTTGCTTAGTCTTTAGTTTTCTATGTTGTGTCATCTGTACTATTATTTGTCTGTTTGTCTTTTTATTTTTGGCCATGACGTTGTCAGTTTGTTTTCGATCTATGAGTTTGACTGTCCCTCTGGTATCTTTCGTCCCTCTTTCAAAGGAAAGTTAAAGGACTTGGGATCACAGTACAATCCTTGTTGAAAGTTTCTTTCGATAATATGAAAAAACTAATTTTAATTGCAGGTCATATGGGTCCTGCTGCTCAAATCAGGAGTACTTGTGTTTTGTACTATAACATGAACTGACTGTTACTTTGGTCTAAATACCAAACAGTAATGAATTTTTGAAACTGCAGACCTTAACATGGAAAGCACTAGGGCTCAGAATAAATAACGTTACTCCTTATGAACTGTTTTATTTCCACTGACCAACACCACGCGTGCCAATGGTTGAACCGGTTCTGTCTACCCTTCTGATGTACTTAGGGACTTTCTGTTTTGAATTTTCCTCGGAGTTTAGTAATTTTGTTATTTTTTTTTTAATATCATCCCCTGTTTTGATTGTGTTCTTGTTGCTCAGTAATTTCTTTTCTGTGTAGTGTTTCACTGTTCTTCCCTTCGTGTCTTCTGCTTTTTTCATGTCATATATTTTCTAACGATAACTGAGCTATGATGTACTAACGTATTTGATTATTAGTCTATGATAATGAAACTGATATGCCGTCTATACAATATTTATAATGCGCAAACATTTTTTTTCCTACCACGTTAACTAACATATATCTTTATATGTCCAGTGGTTATTCAACTGTTGGTTTATCTTAAGCAATTAGCACTGCAGTTGTTCACACAACAAATTATGACACTGTGTTCGATTTCAGTCTCATTTAAGACTAATTTGTTGATATTACTCTTCACGCAGAAAAGTACCACACCTGACATCTGACAAATACACGGAAAGAAATACTAGCAGTTGGATGTTTTCCTTCAGATTTGTTATGACTATTCCTCATGGTTATGGAAGAGCTTATTAACCTCATTGAATTTGTGTGTATCCAAAACCATGAAAAGAGAATTCATTTTTTTATATTTATTCAAAACATTTGGTGATCTATTTAAGATTTGCCTTACATTGATTCCTGACAATTTTGTATAATATATAAACAATTATGATATAGCTACCTTTAATTTCATGACATTTAATTAGAATCAGCAATGGTAGTAAATACTTCATATCTAACAAATGTCTGAAAAATACAATAAATAAAACTATTAATAGAGAATACACAAGGCATGATGTTGTTTAAGTCAGTACTACCTCAAATCTTGCTTTTGAGTAAATATATCTATCGTATGAAATGTAGCCCAACAAAAATGTATAATAAACATACTGAACTCCAATGCACAGGGGAAGTCCATAAAACCGACAAAATCAAACGCAATCAATCAACGGAACAAGTGAAAAACAACTGCCATAAATTTGACTTGTTACGGGCATTATTCAAAGAATCAACGTCATTTTAAGCCGGGGAGCATGTAAAATAATGAAAGGAGTACAGCCAGTAACCCAATAAACGACCTTTAAAGGAGAATCATTAAAACTTCAATTGTTCGTGTAAATTTAACAGTGTATGTTTTACTAAATGTGTCATCTTTGAAAATTATAATTAGAAAGAATGTATAGCTGCTTCATATATCATTTATATAAATGATATATATAAATAAATAAACGCCTAAAAAGTGTACAAAACAACACCATTAATAAAAAAAGGAAACATTAAATGTAATTATCCATAAATATTTCGTATAACAGATATCCTTCATCAGTATGATTATGATGTAAAATGAATCATATCAATCTATTCTGATAAAACTATAACAATCTTGAAATTTATACAATAAAACAGTTAAAACCGAACACAGAGACGCGTGTATAATTCTAAAATTACGTAGATTATATAGCTATTTACAACAGACACTGCAAAGAAATGCTTCAAATAAAAAAAAAGTAATGTGCGATATGAACTGGTACAATTCTAAAATTTCAAAGGTGACGACAGTTAAGATATTACAACAACGATTGCGTGGAAATACATTCCCAATAAACAGCACTGACCGATCTAAGCTGGTATAAAATTTTTAATTTGACAACGGTAGAGTAATTACAACAGAGGCTGCTTATTTAAACATCACAAATAAATAGCAGTTTGATAATGATTAAAAAAATAATAATAAATTTTGACTAAGGTTAAATAATTGAACGTGACTGCGTACTTGTTTATCCCTCCCAAATGAATGGAACCCTGCAATTTAAACTGGTATAATTCAAAAATTTTAGAGTTGACAAAGGTAAAGAAATAGCAACAGAGACTGTGTAGTAATATGTAATATATAACCCAAATGAAAAGCACTGCGCGAATTCGAACTTCACCTTTTCATTTATCCCATTTGGTGCCAACGGTTTTAATTTTCTTATCCAAAATCTTTCCCGAGTGAGTCTATCCTCTCTAGACCAAGCAGTGTTGTGGTCTATGATTTTAATTGATATATATATTAGCCTGAAAAAGGTTTAGATACCTAAGTCCATTTTTCTAGAAATTCATCATCTTTTTTCGAATTATGACCTTATTGCATGATTTCATATATGGCACCAACCCACACATTGAAATTTTGTTTGAAAAGTACAGAATATGGTATATTTGAAATATTTTAGCAGAAATATTTTTGGCGAGGTTTGGTGCACTGTTGATTTTTCTAAAAAAACAGACATAAATATTACAAAAAAAGATGCCAAAAATCAGGTGCTCACAAATTCAAATACATTTATGACGTCAGAAATACAATACTTTTGACGTAAATGGTCAAAAATCATTTTTAACTGAAATAATTGGACATTTTAACATATGTTTTCATATAATTTTCAGACATCGTCGCAGTTAACAAAAATCAGGTTTTTTAGGCCAACATTATGAGTTAGTCGACTAACTCCTCTCAATTGGTTGCATATACACATATTTTTTAACTCGCAGGATTGTACTTTGTTTAAAAGTAATGTTTTGATTGTAAAATATTCATTGAAAAACATATTTACTTGATCTTCTTAATTATTTGAATAGTAACATTTATTTCAATAATAAACCAATGATGCATGATGTTTTTTTTATATTGATAGGCTGATTAAGGAAATGACATGAGTTCTTGTTTTTGAATCCTTTTAGAGAGGCTAAAAATACTAAAGTGACTTCTAAAACATATGTCAAAATTAAACTGACAACGCCATGGCAAAGTATATTGTTTGTTACTAGGTGTCAGTAAAGATATCGACCAAATGGTTGTAAATAGAGGACAAAAATTACCAAACGGACATTTAATGTCTATTCATTATATCAATGGAAGGTTGGTGTCACTTTCTCTATTTTGATTTGGCATTTAAACACACATATGTCTGGGGAGGGAAGACTCTTTGTTTTGTCTGATACACAATCTTATACATTCTAATAGAAATAAGAAGATGTAATATGAGTGTCAATGAGACAACTCTCCATCCAAGTCACAATCTTTAAAAAGTAAACCATTATAGATCAAAGTATGGCCTTCAACACGGAGCCCTGGCTCACATCGAACAGCAAGCTATAAAGGGCCCCAAAATGACTAGTCAAAACAAATTTAAACAGGAAAACCAACGGTCTATTTGAAGCTTAGTACACGTCCATTGATTAACTTGTCAGCATATTTTCCATTTATACATTTATAATGACTTGCATTAATGTATATGACATTGATTAAATATATTCTGGTGTATTTTAAATGAGTGATTGATTGATTGACGTATAATCCAGGTTAACTGATTAAATGATAATAAAGTATATTAAAGTATTAGAAACTACATGAGCTCATATTTGAAACCATTTAAAATAAATGACAAGAATACACACGCTGAAATGTCTTACCTGCTTTACTAATGATTGAATCAATGTTGAAAGTCTTAATAATGAAGGTTTTATTACAAACGAGAGGCGAAACCTAAGTCGAAAATAAATCAAGTATAACATAGGTTCAACATTATCAATGATCCCTGAAAATGAGTTTCAGGTCACATGAACCATGTCAGACTGACTGATACCCTTTATAATCATTCGTTACAATAAATTTACTGGTCATATTTCTTATAGTACATGGAAAACAGAGCAAACTACAAAAATTAACATTGACAAATGAACCATGAAAATTTGGTCACGGTCAAATGAACACTACTTGTCGGACGTGAATACCTTAAAATCATTCCATGAATATAATATAGTTGTCATATTGCTATTATAACCTGCAAATAAACTCATCATATATTCCAATATTTATTTTGTACATATGCCAGACGTGCGTGTCGTCTACAAAAGTCTCATCAGTGGTGCTCGAATTAAAAAAGTTAATAAGGCAAAATAAAGTACATGTACATTTTACATGTTTTACAATCTTCCCATATACCATATATAACGAACCCATTGCCTATAGTATGTGAGAAATAGACCAAACCTCAGAAACTAAATATTGTCCACTAACCATAAACAGGAGGTCAAGGTCAGATGAAACCTGCCAGCTGTCTTACATGTATACCTTACAAATATTTCATACACCAAACAAAGTTGACCTATTGTTTATAGTATCTATCTGAGATACGGATATGACCACGTAAAAAGTTAAATCACAAAAATACCGAACTCCGAGGAAAATTCAAAACGGAAAGTCCCTTATCAAATGGCAAAATCAAAAGCTCAGACACATCAAACGAATAGATAAACTCAACCTTGGTCACTGATCCATGAAATGAGTTCGAGTTCAGGTGAACCCTGTTTGACAAACATGTATACCTTCCAAGGAACACATATACCAAATATGTTTATCCTATTACCTGAGTATGACAAAAAAAAGTATAATTTAAAGCAATCACTTAACCATGAATGTGCGGTCAAGGACAATGAGCATATAACAGACCGAAACTTTGTAACATAAGCCTTCTGCATACAAGGTTTGAAGCATCCATGTTTTCTACCTCCTGAAATATAAAGCTTTATAAATAAAGGCAACAGTATTATACCGCTGTTTTAAAGTCATAATTCGATTGAGAGAAAACAAATCCGGGTAACAAACTAAAACCGAGGAAAACACATCAACTATAAGAGGAAAACAAAGGAACAACAGAAACACTGAAGTGCAACAAAAACAAACGCCAACTGGATACATTGACATACATACATATAAAACTGGATAAATTGACTAGCTATGCACGGTTGATAAATAATAAAATAATAAACATTTGGGAAATAAGTGCTACCCGAACCTGGTAGAAATAGGAAAAATCCGTAGCTCTTTGGTCCGCAAATTGTCAAAATATATCATAACGACCTATGAGCTACGGTTCCGTAGCTTAATTATATAATGATCTTACAAAATACCAGGTAATTTTGTAATTTGGTTTAATTCTGAAAAATTAAGGATTCAATTATTAGGTAAAAAAAGCTAGAATTTTCAGTGTGGACAAAATTCAGATAGATAATTATTAATTAAATCCTATCAACCAACAATAATAAACCAAACTACCAAATAACCAGGCATTTTGTAAGATCAATATTTAATTGAGATAGCTGTAGACTTTTATCAAAATCGAAATTGATTTAACAAAAGATATACAAATTTTTCTATTTGACTATCTGAATTAAGTCTGAACTGAAAATTCTCGATTCTTTTAACTATTAATCAAATATTTAAATGTTACAGAGATAAACCAAACTACAAATTTTGAAATAATGGCATTTTGTAAGAGCAGTATATAATTGAGATAGCTGAGGATTTTATCAAAATCACAGATGATTTGAAAAAGTTAAAGAGATTTTAAAGATGAGTTTTTCAACAATAGATGTCTCATCAGTGATGCTCGAGGCCAAAATATTTGAAAATCCAAAACCTAAGATATGAAAAGCTTATAAACCAAAAAAGGAGAAAAACCTCGATGACTTCAATCGCATGAAAGTGTTTGGGGTTGAACAGAACAATAATTGGAATGATAAACAGCGTGCGGATCGGGGATGGTGGTGAACAAAAGAACTTAATATACCTTCATCACGATGGAATAGCTGCTTGCTCTTTTTTTGTGTGTGAAATCGACAATTATGTTTTATCATGTAATATTACTTATTAACATTGTCCGATGAATACATTCTCACACACACGTTCGATATTGCAATTGGTTTGTTTTATGAAGTTAAAACGCAAGGATTAATATCCAGTATTACCTCATATGGATATGATCACTACCTTTTAAAAAGATAAAAAAGACAATTGTTTGGTTTTGTTTTCATTTGATGAGATGTCGACACTGACAAGTTGGTTCATTAAGATTTTATTTCGTTTTATATCAGCATATGTTAATATTAAACATTGTTTATGGTATAGATTAGATATATTTCAATTTCATTTATCCTCAAACCTTTTTCAATATCAAGATTCCATCAGTAACAACTTGTGTCGATTTCTGTATGACTATTTCATATTTTCCTAGTTCGTAGGCTTCCATCTACTTTCTGTAAATAAAAAAGAAAATAAATGTATTTGTGAATGCTGACAATCCTATTTATCAGTTAACAAAACACTTACCGCTGAATCTAAGTCAAAATGACCTTTTTATCTTAAAATAACCTAAAAATCTTAATCTTACAGCACTTGTTCTTCTTCTATAATTAAATTGGTTTTTTCAGATACTTTTTGTTCGTCCTAACTCACTGCGGTAAATTGAGTTTTCTTCAGACAATTCTCTTGCAGTCAATAAATATCTGTTCTTTCATCTTTCAAAAGTATTAAATAAATTGACTTTTCTACACTTCATACAAGTATTCTCCATTCTAAACTTAAATACAAATTAAAAAAGTTGGTCCTGCTTTGATTCATAAAACAGAATGACCAACGTAGAAACAAGTATCTTTTCGTTCGGAGGGGGAAATCGTACTTTGTAAAAAATTCACTCTGATTCAAAGAAAAAAAATCTCTGAAACTGACATTTCAAGATTCTTGATTTCTTGATTGACAACATATTTGTCACGTTCGGAGGACGTGTTTTTAACAAACAATCGGCATTTTCATTTGAACCAACTGTGCTTCTCTTTTTACCGACTTGTTTCTTTATTCATATGAAGCTTACTTCATACAGGAACTTCTTAGGAAGAAAAAAAAGTTAGCAGTATCCTTTAACTTTACTTTCCGCTATGTGGATGATGTTCTCTCACTTAATTACTCAAACTTTGGTGACTATGTTGAACGCATCAAACCTATCGAACTTGAGATAAAGAATTCAACAGATACAGTTGAGTCGAATTCTTACCTTGACTTGCATCTAGAAATTGACAATGAGGATCAGTTAAAAACATAACTTTACGACAAAAGGGGGTGATTTCTACTTCGCAATTGTGAACTTTTCATTTCTGTGTTGCATATGTTTTATGTTCCCCGAATATGACCTATCGAATTAGACTTATTACCGAGTTTGTAATGCCCTGGGCAACACGATGGGTGCCACATGTGGATCAGGATATTTTTACCTTTCCGGAAACTCTAAGATCACCTGCAGTTTTTTGTGGGAATGGTGTTGTCAGTATATTTTTGACTTATGAGTAGTATAATTAGTTATCAAATGTACCAGGATTATAATTTAATACGCCAGACGCGCGTTTCGTCTACATAAGACTCACCAGTGACGCTCAGATCAAAATAGTTATAAAACCAAACAAGTACGTCTTTCGCCTCTCCCTCTAGCCTTTGTTTAGACTTTTTAGTAGTTTGTATTTACCTACTCACATGAACATTATACTGAATTGTCTGTAAAGCGACCTAATTTAGCGCAGTGGATGGGCCTATGAATTGACTTTTATATATAGATATAAGAAGATGTATGAGTGCCAATGAGACAACTCTCCATCCAAGTCACAATTTGTAAAAAGTAAACCATTATAGTTCAAAGTACGGCCTTCAACACGGAGCCCTGGATCACACCGAACAGCAAGCTATAACATGCACCACAACGACTAGTATAAAACAATTCAAACAGGAAACCCAACGGTCTAATCTATATAAAAAAAAACGAGAAACGAGAAACACTTATGAACCACATCAACAAACGACAAACATTGAACAACACGTACCTGACTTATTACAAGTGGAAACAAAATGCAGCGGGTTTAAACGTTTTTTAACAGTCGCCAACCTTCACCCTAACCTGAAACAGTAGTATAACATTACAACATAGAAAGACACACTATAAAAAGTAAAATCACAAAAATACTGAACTCCGAAGAAAATTTAAAACGGAAAGACCCTAATCAAATGACAAAACCAAAAGCTCAAACACATCAAACGAATGTATAACAACTGTCATATTCCTGACTTGGTATAGGCATTTTCTTATGTAGAAAATGGTGGATTAAATATCAATTGAAATGGCTTAACTCGATCAAAAAGAAATATCAATAAAACCAAGTAAACATACACTGTACGAATACATTTGATCTCTAACACAATATGAATATACATGTAATATGTAAAACAATATCAAAAAGATAACTTTAACCTAAGACAAAATGGCGTTGAATAAAATAACGAAACAGGTTACTTTAAATATGATATTTATTGTTAGGAGTATCAGAATATTTTTTACAAAATAAACTTGTTGTTCATAGAACGATAACAGAAGTGAAAATTCAACGTAATACTAAACACTTATCAAAGGTGGTACACAAAAAAAATAGTGAGACAAGATTTAGCAATATATGACTGAATTATTTATTATTTTATATAATGTTAAGATCAAATTTAAAATGGCTGTGACTGACTAAAATTTATTAGTTTGTGATACAGGGTTGATGAGTCTGAAAATTGACTGAAATAGATATTTATAGGTTTCATAATGAGTGAGAATGGGAAATCGCTTGATATCAACTGGAGTTATTTAATTTCAATATGATAATAAACGAGCCTTCGGCGAGTTAGAATGGGAAATCGCTTGATATCAACTGGAGTTATTTAATTTCGATATAATAATAAACGAGCCTTCGGCGAGTTCATTATTTCTATTTGATTTAAATAACGAGAGTTTATATAAAAAAAGTATATCAACAAAAATACCAAACTCCGAGGAAAATTCAAAACGGAAAGTCTATTATCTAGCGATATCAAATTTTTACAAGTTGTTATACCTATTTCGCTTATGGTCAACACACTCTCAATGTGTAAGATTAAAAAATTCCGTGAAAAGTCTTTGCTATAATTTATGTATTATTGTCTTTTATTTTTGCTACTGTGCTTTGTCTGTGTGCCTTTTTGTGTTTCTTTCTTGCATGTGACGTGGCTCTGTACTTATACACCCCATCATTGTGTCATTGTGTGATGGTAAATGTTTGTTTATATATCTGTTTGTTTTTATAGTGATTAAGATAATAACACAACGTTGGCTGCTGTACCCCTATTTTTGACATTTTTACCTATTATGTCTGTTTGTTTTGTTCACACATCGATGTCAATATAATGGAATTTTATAGGACTGTCATATAAGTGAGGGGTTTAGCTAGCTATAAAACCAGGTTTAATCCACCATTTTTTACATAAGAAAATGCCTGTACCAAGTCAGGAATATGACAGTTGTTGGCCATTCGTTTGATATGTTTGAACTTTTGATTTTGCCATTTGATAAGGGACTTTCCGTTTTGAATTTTCTTTGGAGTTCAGTATTTTGGTGATTTTACTTTTTGCACATTCCAGTATGACGTCATATGTTCATTTCCGGTGTCAAACTTTAACATCAGACATTTTAAGACTTTTTGTACGCTTCAGAATGTAATGAAATTTGACAAAAAGAAGATTGTCAGGTGGAATGTGTGAGTGTTTTGTATATAATTAAAGAAATCACAATGCTTCTTGCCATGGTCGAAATGTACATCGTCTTAACCTTTGAAAGTTATCATTTACCTAACGAATAACCAATGGAAATGCCGTAATATCGTCTTATGATGCTGGATAAGCCAATCAAATTAACGCAGATTTTCGAATCACTTTTTCATATCACACTCCGTCCAGTATGAGACGAGAAATATCTATTCATGGAAGAAATAGATTATAGGCCACAACCATTAGAGAAAAGAAGATATCAGGCTATAAATGACTAAATATTTTATTATTTAGTCTTTTATGAACTGTTAGGTTCACAATAACCGTTTCAGATCACAATTGGTTTACTAGTGTAGATTTTGTTCCCAAAGCGTGTCATAAATGTCATCAGCTCAGTTGTCTGTACTGCGGCACTGATATAATTTGTAACAACTTTAGAATTGTTAGTTTATAATTTTTGAAACTATTAAAAAATTAAGGTTTCAACTCTGTACTGTTTAGGTCTAAGTGCCGAATCGACCATGTCCCTTTCTCATCATTTCACTCCCCAGTCTCTTCAATCTCTCGATTATTGTCAAAACTGAAACACGTTCTTTTTTCTACTTGAAGTTTAATCCACCTCTAGAGTAAGTTAACCTTTTATATTTGTGCTCATTTTGTATATCGTTGTGCCAATTGTTGAATTAAACATGGTATGCACTTTCATATATGGTTATTGATGTTCATTTACACATGACATGAGTAAATGTTGCCGTTGTGAGTAAACAGTACTGTTTGTATTTTTATGTATGCATTTTCCCCTTAAATACCATTCATTATTTGTCAATCCCACATGTTAGGATTTATTTTTTGTGATTTATACATGTAGACAAGGGTCACGCTTAAGTTTTCTAAAAAATCAGTACTGCACAGTCTCAACGTGCGTACACATTTATATCGTGCGTGTTGTGAAAAGTACAGTCAAGCACAGATGCAACCTATTTTCACCCTCTCCGGGGGTCTGTATACCAATAAACTGTTGATCTCTCAACGACTTATCAGTACAGTGAAAAAACTAGAATATGGAGACAAACTCGAGTTAGATTTCACATGTCAGAATCCGTTTCTGAAAGAGAGTTAAGAACTTCAACAACACTTACATCTGAAGGGGATCACCTTTTCCAACAGTTAATGAACGACACCAATATATTATTAGAACTATTAAAAGAGATATCAACGCTATTATACTGGACGTCGAAGACAACCCAGTGGTGGACCTCTCCATAGCATCGACGTACAGAGACGAAATTTCAAAGCTATCATAGAAGTTTGAAAAAGAAGCCAACACATATTTTGATTTCTTAAATTCATATAGGACAAAAGAAAGTGGAATCGAGCATGCATCTTTTAAAGTGTCATTCTATGCGTTAAAGGCTAAAATATGTGTCGTCAAACAACATTTAAGTGAATTGCTGCCTAGAAAATCTAAACAAGATAGTGAACGGACTCTTAAAAGTCAAAGCTCGCACCACAGTTCCCGTCATAATGGGTCAACTAGAAATTCATTACTTAGTGCTCAATCAAAATCAGCGATTCTTAAACAAACTGTGAAAATGGAAACCGCAAAGACACGACTTAAATATGCCAAAGAGGAGGCAGAACTATTGCAACG